AACCTCTTTCTAAGAATGTATATGAGTGTCATTAAGCGCACACACAGCATATTAACTTGTCATTGTGCACTGAATAGCTATTTATTTTCCTCTCCTTTCAATAATGCAACCAGGAGACAAGGTTTAATTAATTCCTAGCAATGAGAATATTCAAAATTAGACCATTAAAAGTGTTGTCTTCTAATTTATAAGTTCTTGATTACTTTGAATGTTAGGCTACTAGTGAACTTAAGTTGTACTGTTTATAGTTATTGTAAACTGAATGGCTAATAAATAAATAAAAAATAAGATATTATGTAAGGATTTAATAACGAAAATTTAACCAAACAAAATGATGAGTTAATTGAAAAAGAAATTGATTATGAAGAAAAAAAAAAGGAAGAAGTAACGGAATTAAAAGAATAAGTTAATAAAGAAGAACCAACGATCTTTGAAGAAGCTTTAAAACTACCTGATAAACAGAATTGGATAGAAGCTATGAAAGAACTGAATTCAATGAAAAAGTGTGAACTATGGGATTTAGTAGAAAATCCGGGAAATAGGAAGATAATAGATAATAGGTGAGTATATAAAAAATGTATTTATACATTGATCAATCATATTATATCATTGCTTGATCTTATAATCCAGAGTTTTTGGATCGAAAGCGCTTGTTCAGTGATGATGTAATTATGGTTCCACTGACAATTAAAGTGACAGTAGATTTTTGAGTGCGTTTTATTCGTTTTGTTTACCTAAATTATATCGTTTTTTTCACTTTTATAAATATATTCCTAAAGTAAGTAGATAGCATGTATCAAATATACAATCGTTTAGTTACCAATTACATACCTTTAGACTATTTTTTTATGATCTGTAAACAATATTTTGAAATAAAATAAAAACAGTAAAAACGTATATGTCAAATTTATTGATGTTTTTGTTAAAAGTTTGGTTAGAATTAAATGTCAGTGGAACCAAAATGACATCACACTGAACTAGCGCTTTTTTCGGACTCAACCGATTGACGTGAAATTTGGACAGCAACTAAGGAATGGATCAAGGAAGAAAAGTTATATAGTGCCGATGTGCGCTTTCACCGTGGGGGTTGAAATTAATAAACAAAAAACTGCACATGTCAATAAACTGAAATATTCTAAGACGTCTATGAAGTTTTTTCGATAAATCAATATTTTTCAAGTTATTCGCGATCGAAAAATGTTTTTCGATTTTTGGATTTTTGATTGACGTGAAATTTGGACAGCAACTAAGGAATGGATCAAGGAAGAAAAGTTATATAGTGCCGATGTGCGCTTTCACCGTGGGGGTTGAAATTAATAAACAAAAAACTGCACATGTCAATAAACTGAAATATTCTAAGACTTCTATGAAGTTTTTTCGATAAATCAATATTTTTCAAGTTATTCGCGAAAAAATGCATTTTTTTACTATGATTTTTCACGAATACATAAGGAAACAAAAAAAACAAAATACAAAAAAATAAAAAAAAAACAAGAAATACAAGAGAAACAAAAGCAAGGATAACAAAAAAATAGAAAAAATAATAAAAATACATGTGGCACTCGGGGACTGCCGCGGTAAAGCTATTGCATAGCATTTTTTATCAACTTATGCAATTATAATTATTTATTTATTTTATTTATGCAGTGTTTTTTTTTTTTCTTTGATATTAATTCAAGTTTTTTTCTTTGATATTAATTCAAATTACACTTTTTGAGCGTGGTGACCGATAAGAAAACATTTTTTTTTCTTTTATTGAATAAATGAGAAGTTAATATTGTTTAAAATATTTTTATTATCTTACAATACATATGTAGGTTAATCAGGAATTTTTATCATTGAAACTATAGGTTTATGGTAACTGAAATAAGAAACATAAGTTTGAGACTTGATATCCTCTAAATATCTGGAAAATGTCGCGTCAATGGATTCTTGTGGATCATTATTCATTTTCAAATTCAATTTTTCCGAAATTGTGTCTAAAAGAAATAGAATCAGTTATGAGCAGTTAGCAACTAGACTACCCGCATACGTCTAGTCGCACGCACACAAACACCGTGCCGAAGTCTGCCGAACTGAAACAACGTTAGATGATGCACGGCTTTCAACGCCGCACCGCTGTGCCGGTCGGAGTGGGGAGAGTGTTAGATTTATTTTCGTTACAAAATTTATTTTTCTATTTTTCGATTTTGCGATTTTTCGACTTTTCGATTTTTCGATTTTTGGATTTTTGGATTTTTCGATTTTTGGATTTTTCGATTTGTCGATATTTCGATTTTTTTGATTTTTCGATTTTTCGATTTTTCGATTTTTTTAATTTTTCGATTTTTGGATTTTTCAATTGTTCGATTTTCGATTTTTTTTATTTTTCGATTTAACGATTTTTCAATTTTTTTTATTTTTCGATTTTTCGATTTTTCGATTTTCTTTTATTGAATAAATGAGAAGGTAATATTGTTTAACGCCGCACCGTTGTGCCGGTCGAAGTGATGAGTGTTAGGTTTTTTTCGTTACGGTTTCGATTTTTTTCTTGATTCGGTCGCCGCGCTCAAAGCCCGCGATAAAAGCTATGCAATAGCTTAAAAAACCAAAAAATATCAAAGCATCCTCTTAACCAATCATTAATGTACTAGTACAATTAATAACGCATTTAATGTGCGATGCCAAACCTTACCAATTATTATTTTTCTGATAAGTTTTTGATTCCACCACTAGCAACTAGGGTTGCCAACTCATCCGGAATTCCGGGATTTTCCCGGAAAAAGGTATTTCATTTTCAAAATCTTCCGGCTCCAGGAATGTACTTAAAATCTCGCGGATTTTTGAACTATGAATAATGAAATTGAGTGGGTTGAATTAAAAGAGTGAAAAAACTCTTGGCCTATAAATGCATGAGAATAAACTATATGATAATAATTAAAGTAACGTAGTTATTGAACTGGTCAAAAAGTCATAATTGTCTTAAAGCAACTCATGTCAAATCTGAAATAAATGTGCATAAATTTCAAATACATATTGTGACAAAGTCACTAAATTTTGCTCTCAATTAATTTAAAAATGTATATTTCAATTAATTCCCGTCTGAGAACATGTAGAAGTTCCCCCGTATTTATGTTTCCCATGAATTTCCGTTTTCAACAATTGCTAGTACCCTCGTAAATTAAAATATTCCTATATTTGCCGAAATCCGAATGGGCATTTTGTAGAGTCAATTTCGTACCGATTATCTACTTTTATTCGTCAAGGTACTAGAAGGACATTTTTTATATTTCTAAATTGTAAACAGTCGGCTGTAGTGGTGGTATCCCCCACTCGGGCTTACCGGTCTTCCATCTTGTCACAGCGAAAAAGCATAAATTCGATGACATCTGGGAATTACCTTCTCTTGATTGCCGACAGCCGAAAACTATTCACCCTTCGATAATGCCTAGTAAATACTCCGTGAGTGCCGTGATTTCGAAAAAGATCATTGAATAACCCCGTTTATTATTCTAAAGGTAGGAAACCGCTTATTATATTTTTTTTTTATTTACAATTAGTTTGGGACACCCGTCCGACAAGTGAAATAATTTTGATTCATGCCCAGCATTTTTCATTTCATTCCTTAGTGGGAAACCGTTGACATTTTTTTTTATAAGAAGCACCCAGTATTTTTCATGTAAGTTTCTCTTTTCTTTTATTTATTTATTCATTCAATTGTATTTGAATCGTTCCGTTCCCCGTCCACAACTAATTATTGAACGAAGCCCAACTTTTCTGTAAAATTAAATTCACACACGCTCTCGATCGACTCTGGTCAAATCTCGTATTTTTGTCCCAAACACCGCGCTGAAAATTATCATTCTCATTCAATAATTGCCAGAGCGTCGATCCGTCTGGTCTAAGTTACAGGGACGTTCCGAAAACTTTGATTTCATTTATTTGCTTGCATTTGATTACCGTCATATTTAAATTGTTTTCGAGTGCATTAATTTATTTTTAATAAATTTTCCGTATATAGAGTTTAATAATTCCCGGACCGCTTGGCCTCCTGTGCTAGCGAACCGTAAATATTTTCCCGTATTAGTAAAAGGTAATACGAACTTTTAATTTCCTTAGTACCTAACAAAGTAATAAAGTAAATTGGATTTAAATCCGGGGGCACTCGCACCTTTCATCCAGTTTCGCGTTAATCAGGGGGTGATAGCGGTATTCGCTTGCTTCACCCCGTCGATAATCAGAGCTGTTTCAGCCCCTAGTCTTTATAACAGCTCGTGGAAAGGGTTTATCTCTTATAGAAGCTATAAACTACCAGATGTCTACATGAGAGAGACTTTAAACCGTTAATATTTCATTAGTTTTCATTGGTAATAATTTATTTTTAATAAATTTTCCGCATATAGGGAGCCGTTCATATTTAATTACCGTTACATTATTTTTTTTGTAAATATATATTTTATTACCTCTGTGTTTCTCTTATTACTGGTTCTTAACTGTTCTCTTTCAGGGTACCGTAGGGTACGAGGTGTAAAGGAGATAAGTGTTTTATTATTATTTATTCTAGTATAGTGGCTACCTAGCAGTGATCGCTTGGTATTTCCAGTATTTCCAGCTGCTTCCGGTATAAAAAATACAACTTTACAAGAAAATATCAGGTCAAAAATATTGTAAAATTTCATACTTGAGAATAATCTTTAGTTATTTCAATTATTTGTTACTCTTTATTATTTTTTGTTTTTCTTTTCTCCCAGATTTCTGATTCACAGAGTTGGCAACCCTACTAGTGACAAGAAATTTGTTGAATACATTAGTAGTAAAAGAATTAATAAAGTCATTTGAGTTGTGTTTAGTTTTCAAATTTACAAAAACAGCTTAATATAAAAAATATTTTTATTTATAAATAAATAACTGACTTTGTTGAAATATTCTAAATTGTTCTACTGGCCTTTAAAATTAATGAAATAAGCGTTCACTGACTTATTAGTTTACATCAAAATCCATTTTGGCAGAAAGCCACTTACTTATAAGGTTTTTCTCGGGTATGAGTTCGAATGTGTTTTTTTAGGTCACTGAGGGTAGTAAAAAATTTATTACATCCATCTGACTCACAATTAAAAGTTTTACCATTATGCAAACGTTCATGAGCTCTCAGCCTGTATCTTGTATTGAAAGCCTTGTCACATCCGTCTTCGGTGCATTCGAATGGTTTCACCTTTGTATGTACTCTGATATGTATTTTTAGACTATATGAAGTTAAAAAAGCTTTTCCACAACTGGGTTCCGAACATTTAAACCGGTATTCACCTGTAATACAAATATTATTTAGTTATGATCATTAAAAATTCAAAATATGTAAAAAAATTTAGTTAGGTATGGTCGAGAGATAAATACATTGGGAATTCTTGTGTACATCTTTTAGGGAATTATCCGGTATTCTCTGGGTATTCCCGGGAATTATTAGGTATTCCCTGGGAATTTTCAGGTATTCTCTAGGAATTCCCTGGAAACTCTCTATAAAGAGTGTTCTCCTTAACCCTCATAAAGGACAAAAGAAAGAAGCAAAATAAAATTACTGGAAAAATTAATAACAGTACGAACATTTTATTTAAAAAAGGGATACAGTAAAAATATTTTAACTTTAAAAAAATGTCTAAATTATTGTATTATTTATTATCATGATTTTTTCCAAAGTTAATAAATTTTTTCCCACACTAATATCTTATCCTTTTATTTCTCATATTTTATCAAAAGTAAAATATAATCTAAACTGAGGGAAAATATGCTAATAAATCTGGAACAATTGTTTATTTTCCTAATATTTTAAGGACCACATTAAGGACCTTATTTACTAACTCTAGAGAAACCTTTAGAATTACTTGGTTATTCTCATATATTTTTCGGGAATACCTGGATATATTCAGTTATTGTCTCAGTATTCCAGGTATTCTGTGGGTATTCTCTGGGTATTCCCGGGAAGTCCCTAGGTATTCCCGGGAAGTCTCTGAGTATTCCCGGAATTGTAATATAAACAGTGATCCACAAAAAATGTTTCTATAGTAAACCATGACCGACAAAAACGAGATAAGAATCATGTCCATGATCTTGCAAATTACCCTTTTTTTTAAGCTGTTCATATTACTTTGTATTATTTTTAGTTTATTAGATTTTTTTCATTTGTCACTTTTGTTATATTTTATTTTGAAGTAAAATAAAAAAGAGTTTAGATTGGAAGTTTTCTCTGTTTTTGAAACAAATCCATTTTCACACTGAAGTAAATCCAAACAGGCACTTAAATAGAAGAATAATTTTAAGCCTACTTTAGAAACATTTTTTTTGTGGATGACTCCATATTTCTATAATCTTTTTATTATCTGTTTTATTGATAGATAATATCGAGGGGTGCCAAACCCGTAGGCCAAAATTTGTACACCTAATTCCCTTTTCACTGTCAAAAATAACAAATGATATGATATGCATTAAATGTAATACTTTAATTTTAAGCATCGAGGTAAAATAAAGTTGAGACAACATAAACACTATTTTGCAATATAACAGATGGAAGCACTTTGAGTGTCAGAAAAGTGTAAGGAAAATGGCGTCTTGAGTCATACTTTAATAATAATTTTCTATTTGAAAACTGAAAATGATTTTATAACCATAACTGATTAGCTCCAATATCTTGAATTTGTGTAATGCAAAGGTGCAGACAGTTTAGCATTGTCAAAGCATCTCCTCTTTATTCTATCTCAATGTTTTAAGATATAGACAGTTATTAAGGACAATACTTTCTTTATTAAAAATAATAAATGTCCTATATTTTTTAAAAGTAGTGATAAAATGAAAATTACAAAAATAAAATGTATGACCTTTATGTGTTTTCAGGTGTGTTCTAAGATTACCAACTGTACTGTAAGTCCTAGAGCAGCCATCATAGTCACACTGAAATCTGTTGATTGTGGTTTCTTTGGTATCAGGATCTGTAGATGTGATTGTCAAAGTCGCATGTGATGGATCATTTGGCATTCTATCTGAGGATCCTGGACTAATTTGCATACATATCTCATCCAGAGAAATAGTGTGTTGAACAAAACTAAAATTACATTGTTTATTAGAAGTTAGATTATCAGTAATATATTGACAGTTTTAGGTATTAGAAGTTGTACATTATTTATGGAGGAATATTTCCTGATAGCATGAAAATTGCTAAGGTCTGTCCTCTATTTAAAAAATCTGATGTGTCCAACACATGACTTTCCTTTCTAGTTTTTATAGGCTTTTTCCGGTTATTTTGTACAACCTATTGCAGCATCTCTATAAATGTTTAGAGGATAAACTAAATATATACATTGTCCACATACATCTACCTCGAAACATTTTTTTATAGATATTCATTGAAAACGAAAATACTGAAAAATTTAAATTTAGCACTTTTCCATTACGGTCCATTTTAGAAAAATCATGTATAAACAAAAATTATAGAGATCGATATCGCAAACAACTTTTAGTTCAACAATTTTCATAAAAATCAGAATTTTGCACATTTTGTCAAATTTCTCGGATACGGACCATTTCAGGAAATTTTAACATAAAACAAAAATTATAGATAATAATATTATAAGTAACTTTTATTTGAACAATTTTCTTCTCCAAACATAAATAACAGATATATTCCATAAAATATAAAAACGGCCTCCCATAAAGTACCCCCCTAGATGTTCCGACTTTGTCCAAAATCTAATTATTTCACTTTAGGCCGAAATAAACCTTAAGTTTAAAATTTAATGTTTTCTTCAAAATTCAAAATTTACACATTTTCTCAAATATCTCGAATACGGTCCATTTTAGAGAAATTATGTATAAAATAAAAATTATAGAGAATTTTATTACAAACAACTTTTATTTGAACAATTTTTATAAAAAAATATTTTTTTTACATTTTGTCAAATTTCTCGAATACGGACCATTTTAGGAAAATTTTGTATAGAACAAAAATTATAGATAATTATATTAGAAGTAACTAAAATATAAAAATTACCACCTATAAAGTACCCCCCCAGATGTTCCGACTCTGCCCAAAATCTAATCAGTTCATTAGACGCTGGAATAAAGCTTAAGTTTAAAATTTGGTGTTTTTCTGTGTATCGGTTCATGAGTTATGCGACCTACAGACACACACACACACACACACACACACACACACACACACACACACACACACACACACACACACACACACCCACACACCCACACACCCACACACCCACACACCCACACACCCACACAGCCACACAGCCACACAGCCACACAGCCACACAGCCACACAGCCACACAGCCACACAGCCACACAGCCACACAGCCACACAGCCACACAGCCACACACCCACACACCCACACAGCCACACAGCCACACAGCCACACAGCCACACAGCCACACAGCCACACAGCCACACAGCCACACAGCCACACAGCCACACAGCCACACAGCCACACAGCCACACAGCCACACACCCACACACCCACACACCCACACACCCACACACCCACACACCCACACACCCACACACCCACACACCCACACACCTACCCACCCACACACCCACACACCCACCCACCCCACCGACTGTGTGGATCATTCAATTCTATTATCAAAACTGGATAGGTATGGAGTACGAGGGATTTGTTTACAGCTTTTTGAATCTTATTTAACTGACAGATGTCAAACAGTCATCATCGAAAATTGCAAAAGTTCATTGATGCATATCAGGAGAGGTGTCCCTCAGGGCTCAATTTTAGGTCCATTACTCTTTTTGATATACATTAATGATCTTCCTGGCCATATGCATTTTGAAAACCTTATCACATGTATATTTGCTGATGATACTTTTTTTGTATTAATATTAAAAGAGGAACAGATCATGATCAAGTTTACTCTGATGTCATGATTCAGGCAAAATATGGTTTTCTGTAAACGACCTGTTTTTAAATGACACAAAAACTATCTCCCAATTATTTACAGTAAATAGTGAACAAGTTAATAACAATTATGTTAAAACACTTGTCATTCAAATTGATCCTCATCTCAGATGGCTAGATCATATTGAAGCACTTTGTTTCAAATTATCACAAGCAGTTTTTGCTATCAAGAAAATACGCCAAATATGTGGTCAAGATGAAGCAATTACTGCTTACTATGCTCTATTTCATAGTCATTTGACATATGGGACAATATGTTGGGGCAATGCTGCTGACACGCATATCTCAAGAGTCTTTATTTTGCCAAAATCAGCCATAAGAGCCATAACACATGCTTCTTGGCAAGCCAGTTGTAGACTAGTATTCCCAGAACTTAAAATGATGACACTCTATGCAGTAATAATCTATCAAAACCTTCTATTCATAAGAAATAATATTAACACATTTTTTTCCCATTCAGATATCCATAACTATAATATAAGGCACAAAGATAACTTAGTCTCTATCCAGTATAGACTGGAAAGGACAAATAAATATTATATTGAGCTATACAAAATACTACCACTTAATTTTAGAAATCAGCCTATAGATAAATTTAAACATGCATTAAAACAAATGTTATCCAATAATTGCCTATATAGCTTAGAGGAATTTAAATCAATACAGATGGAGGATAGAGGCTGTCACTGTGGCCTCTGAGTGATTCAGTGAACTAGGTATGTTGTAAATGTTTGTAAATTTCAATTTTATATTTTTATATTATTATATTTAGTTTTAATTGTAATTTGACGAGCCATAAAATGTAGTATTTTCTCAGGTAAATAAAGATATTGTATTGTATGCAATAAAAGAAGGGAATCCAATCTCGCAAGTGTGGTTATCTTCAATGAGATTATTAAAATGCTAAATCAGTATCACATTTGTCAGATTTCTACTTTAACCATTATAACCTAAGAATAGTGAAATGAGTGGGCTATTTGGATGGGATTACAATTACAAAGGATTGTGTCTCAGATGATTTAAAATTTGCCATGTTTAATTAATTAGTCTAGATACTGAATGACAATCTAGGTTGAGATTTTTAAAGTGGCATTTAATTTATCTTCATTTTTATTTTATATAACTAAATTTTCTTCTTTATGTAATAATTTTTTTAGCCATTTAAAAAAAATTAAATTAAATATTAGGTATGTTCCAATAAGGATCAAAAACAAATCACAAAAATCTATTGAGCACAATCCTGGTTTCTGATCGTTATTGGAGCAGACCTATTTAGACTTTTGTTCTGTTTAACACTTTTTAACAACTTAAGCATGTATAATAAAAATAGAAGATATAAATATTAGATCTGGAGTAGACCTCTTAAATTAAAAATGTTATCACTCTTAACTTTATTTACTTTAAATTTCTGTGTCATCAAAAAGAATGTAAATATAGATAAAAATCTAAGTAGTAAGTACCCACCTATTTTGATTATTTTGATAGTAGTGGAGTGGAATATGATTACCTACCATTCAAATAGGTATTTTCCAAAATAACTAAATTAATCTTAGGATGTGTACAAATTAGCAAATTACTTTTTATTGTATTTTAGTTGATAGGAAATAAAAAACCTTGATCTTATTGACAATATTTAGGAAATGTAGTAATACCATTTTTATTGTATTCAGATGAATTATTATACTAGTGGGTAGGTATTCTTAGTAATAAGGGCTTACCCATTTTGTTCTTTGGTATCAGTTTTATTGTCCAATGAAATATTATCCGAGTCTGAGTATACTTTATTAAAATTAAAATCCAGGCTTTCATCAAGGCAATCTTGTAAGTCATGTGTAAGTACGATATTATTATCGAATTGTTCATTCTGATGAAGTTGATTTTCGACCTTTCCAATCCAAGAAGTCATTATTATAAGAATAACTTGTGAAACACTCAATACTCATTTCGGTAACACAGAAATACAAAAAAAGAAATATGAACTAGAGAAAATTAAAGTAAACAACAAAAATCCATTTTTAGAAATATCTATAAATAAAATTTTAAAGCACTGTTCATCATTCAATTTTGAAACACAGATTACTTTTGACATTTGACAGTTTTTACCCCAAACTCAGAACAAATCTAACATGAAACCACAAACATGGATCGAGAAGATGGGAAATGTCATTTTCGACAAGGATTATGTGCGTACTCAACACGTAACGAATTGAATAGAGAGAGACATACGAATAGCATTATGTTGAACGAAGATAGTCGTCTCAACACGTGTCAAATTGAAAGATGAGAATCCCAATGCAGCCACCAGTGGGATTCTCATCTGTCAATTCGCACGTGTTGAGAAGCTTGTCTTCGTTCGACAGAATGTGATTGTTATGTAATGTCTCTCTCTATTCAACACGTAACGTGTTAAATTAACACATAAGTCCCTACGGCTGAGGTTGGTACTGACAACTGACATTTTAAATTGTTTGACATATGTCACCTGTCAAATAGCTGTTTAGGTCATCATGGTTGAGGTGAAAAACTTAATATTTTTTGTTTATTGTTTCTCCATATTATTTTATCCAAAAGCGATGTTAAAGACCGAGTAAGATAAGGCTGAATATCATACCCCGATTGTTCCTAATTTATTAAAGAAATGGACATAAAACAAGATACAGACCCTTCCAATCTTCTCGAGCTTATTAAATTGGAACCAGGAATTGATCCAGATCAAACAAAGCAAAACGAACATTGTTCTAGAAAACTAGAAACGTTTAAAAATGAATATGGTGATGTATTTGAATCTCAAACGTTTGAACAATTCGGATATGTTGATAAAGTTAAAGAAGAAATCAAATGTGAAATGCCTGAAATTGAAGAACGTTCGGATGAATTGCCGACAAAAATTGACCATGATTCCTATAGCGAAAACGTCCAAAGTTTTCCTTTTAAACAAGAACTTGAGAACACTAAAGACGTTAAAATTATAGATACTAGTGGTATTAAGCAAGAAGTTTGTGAATATATAAAACCAAAAACTGAGAGTGAATTGTTAACTTCACATTGTGATTTACCGACTTTAAAAATTGAAAATATTGATTGTCCCGACTATTATGATTTAGAATATCCCTGTAGCAGCAAATCCCTAAAAAATACCAGTAAAGTTATTTTAAAGAACAAGAAGAGGATATATCCATGCCCTATCTGCCAGAAAAGTAAGTGTTTCTTTTACTAAAGCAACCTTTTTTATTCATATTAAAATATCAGGTGCATATGAAAGAAGGAGCAGCTCCCGAGGTTAGGGTTTGGTGCTTGGAGCTAAGGCAGTTAGGGTCGAGATTAAACTTGGTATAAGTATGGATGTATTTTCCCCTAAATGAGTGGTTGAGTGCCAGAGTTGTCTAACCAGCAAAATGTCAAAACCACCCGTCTTCCTATGAAATTTTAAAATAATTTCTGCATGTGCTAAAGTTCCCTATTCTATAATTATTTATTTTTGGTGCCACTTAAATATTAGGCAGTTATGTCTAGTACAGATAAAGTACTTTGATCCTTATTTGCTCACTTTTAATAATTTCAAAACAACTGGCCTTCATGTATTATTATTTTAAAATCATTTCTGTGCATGTTACAGTTGCCTATTCCTTTAAATTATTCATTTTTAGTGCCATCTTTACCTAAAGATTAGGCAGTAACTTCTAGTAGATTACTCAAATATGAAAATTATGAGATTTTCAAATTTATGGGAGTATAGTTTGGGAGTTTTTCATTTTATTTTGACCACTAATTATTTTCATTATTCTTGTGAATACAAAAAAAAGTTTCAAGTAAAAGCTTTGTTGTTTTAGCTCAACTTTTTCGGCTACATGCAATCGATTGACAACTTTTAATAAACAACTGTTTCACTAGGAAACATTATTTTCATAGCCATATATGTGTTACACTTTCATAGTGCAATAAGTCACTAAATAATTAAAATATTATATATTTGTAATAACAAAATGCAAGTCTACTTAAAATGACAGAAATATATACCTAGGTTTTCCCATTAAAAAAATGAAATTATATTTTGTTAAAGATTATATTATTTCACTATGATTTTTAATAAGCAAGTACATGAACATAACACTAGAAATATAAATATCTACTTAAATAAAAATAACTTCACTAGTTCAATGAATTCATTGATTATTAAAGGTTTCATGAACATAATCAGTTGCCACATCACTTAAAAGCCTGTAACCTAAATGCTTTTAAAACTAATTTGGAAATGTTTATAAAAAAAAAATGTATTTTGATTAATTAACTTAAATTTTTAGCAGATATACTCCTTTTTTTGTTTTAGTTATTATGTAAGTTTTATTCAATTTGAAAGTTTTTAATGAATATTTTCAAATATTATATTTAAAATATTTTTTTGTCTTTTATATGCTATTTAAATAAAGATTCTTCTTCTTCTATATACCAAGTTTGGTCTCAATATCTTGACCCCAACTGCTTTAATACCAAAAATTTTGAATTGAAAATTAAACCATTAAAAATTTTATGCTCCTTGTCTTTTACAAAATTAAAGATGCTAATGAAGCCAACAAAGCACCTTGGGAATTATGGAGTTAAAATGAAACATATGCCATATTTGGGTTATTTTTATACCCTACTCAAAATGTGTATGTCCTTGTATTTTACAAGTATCAAATACCTATGTCTACTTTTTAATATGTAATAGAATCGACTATAACAACATCTGAATTATCAATTTTATTTACTTCAAAAAAATTAATAATGGTGTTTATTTTAATAAGAAAACACTGGTTTTTCCTTTTAATTAAGCATTTAAAAGAAAATTGGGATTGAAAAATTCAACCTATAGAATAACTACGCATTGTTACAATTGTGCCAAATATTTTTTTAATAATTTGTGTTTTCTTCTTGTAATGAGTGGTTTGTACGAGGGTTTGTATTATTTGATGTTTGTGGACTTTTTTAAATTAGCTTGTAATGCGATTACATGCCCAGGACTTTGTTAAAACCGGTAACGCTGCATGAATGTTACACAAGTTACGGGAGCCACAGCGCCATCAATCGTCAAGCCAAGGAAGAAGGGGAGTTCTGAGTTAAAAATAGAACAATAAAGGCGTGACCGCGACAACACAAACGTTCTGATTTTATCTACTTTGTTATTTTTATAGTTCTTGTGTGTTATTTAATAAATAAATATACCTACCAAGTTCTAAAAGCTGAATTAGCTCATAAAAATATAGTACAGAATTGTATGAATTAATTTTAGTTTTACACTGACATATATATGAAGTTTCTGACATTTGGTTTATTAGGGAATGATGTTGCAATTATATTAAATGTGCAGGGTAAAGCCTAAATGGAATCAAGCGGTTTAGGTCTGTAACCAATTTTACTGCCTGTTGAATTTTTTTTATAGGTATTATTATTTATTTAAAATACACATTTGATAACTACAAAATTTTTAAAATATATTATACTACCGGTAAATTTTAATCGACGCTACCTTTTTTATTTTGTTGCAACACCACTTAATGTATTGTCCAGACACCTAATTGTTTTTCTATTTCACTCTTTCTACAATACGCTCGGAGGTGGGACTAATAGGAAAATAAAAGTAGGCATTTGGTAACAAAAATTATTGGTACACATCATGGGACATACAATTTTCAACTTTAACAATTATTTCTTCAGCCTTGAGTGATATCTGAATGGCACCATTTTGCTAAAGTACTTTATAAGTGGTAAAGTTTAAAATTGAGTAATAATACAATTTGATTGGTATAGTCCATTGGTGATTTGAGATTATACTGTCATCTAGTTGAACATATTAAAAAATCAGCTTTCAAATCACACATATTAAAATCATAATTTTAAAATCGCGGTACACCTGTGTACAAAAAGATTTTGTAGAATGCGCTAGTTCAGTGTGATGTCATTTTGGTTCAACTGACATTTAATTCTAACCAAACTTTTAACAAAAACATCAATAAATTTGACATATACGTTTTTACTGTTTTAAGCTTATTTTTAATTATTGTTTACAAGTCATAAAAAATAGTTTAAAGGTATGTAATTTGTAACTAAACGATTGTATATTTGATGCATATTATACAGGGTGGCTCACGCTCAACGGGACGGAGCTTTATGGGAAAACGACCAAAGATATAAAAAATTCGTTTGGGAGGAATATGTAGGTTACAGACGGCTACAATTTAAAATTTGTTAGATGTATACAGGATGTCCCACATAAGAGAAAATATACAAAGTTATATTATTTTTAATGGAACACCCTGTTTTTTATTTTAGAATTAAAAACTACATCAAAAATAATGTCAGTTAACTAAAGGTTCCCTATTACTATTATTATTAGTTTTCGATTTATTTGAATTTTTAAGGAAAAAAAGTCTCCCAGAAATTAATTGTTTACTCTTGTTTGAATAATTTTTAATGAACTAATTTTTTTTCTTATGTGGGACATCCTGTATACATCTAACAAATTTTAAATTGTAGCCGTCTGTAACCTACGTATTCCTCCCAAACGAATTTTTTATATCTTTGGTCGTTTTCCCATAAAGCTCCGTCCCGTTGAGCGTGAGCCACCCTGTATACTTACTTTAGGAATATATTTATAAAAGTGAAAAAACGATATAATTTAGGTAAACAAAACGCACTCAAAAAATCTACTGTCACTTTAATTAAATAGTGGAACCATAATTACATCATCACTGAACTAGCGCATTGGAAACTATTTATTCAAAAAAAGTAATTCAATACAAACACAAATATACAGTATGGTTCAAATGAAAGGAATAAATTCATTATAATGGAAGTAGCTGGTTTTTCGAAAAAAATGCTCGGACAGGTCAATTTTGTTTACTCAAAGCGCAATTTTTTAAATAGAATTCAATTTTCCCTCACTTCCCATTTTTGGGCAGTGACGTCATTGACAATTTTTTTAAATGGTAACCTCAATTCTTTTTTCTTGATTTTGATAGATCTTGCAATTTCCTACTCGGAAACATAATATTTGAAATATCTTACATAACAATTTTTTTGAATAGAAGACATTTAAAGATCAGACGTATAAATTTTATTTTATTTTGAGAACTGTGAAGTGGGCTTAAGCAACAGTGCGCAGATTAAGCTGACAGGATGCTGACGTCATACACATGACGTGAAGACAAGCGCAGAAAGGCAGTCTGCAAGAAGCAACGAAGATGCGCGTACCTATCCGAGATCGACTCAAGGTGACTCTTTATAAAGTCTGTCATACATGTTAGATACTTGCATTTGTAATACAAGTTAGTGATACCACCCCTCTCGTTTAATTACACACCCCCGTACACCACAAGAACACAATAAATGAATAAAAGATAATAATTATTTGTAATTAAATCTAACAAAATAATAATAATAAAAAGAATTTGTGAAATTGTCATTAAATTCTTTTTATTATTATTATTATTATTATTTTAGATTAAGCACTTAATTACAAATAATTATCTTTTATTAATTTATTGTGTTTCAAAATAACATAAAATTTATGTATCTGATCTTTAAATGAATTTTTTTCAAAAAAAATTGTTATGTCAGATATTTAAAATATTATGTTTCCGAGTAGGAAATTGCAAGATCTATCAAATTCAAGAAGAAAACAATTGGGGTTGCTATTTAAAAAAATTGTCAATGACGTCACTGCCCAAAAATGGGAAGTGGGGGAAAATTGAATTTTATTTAAAAAATTGCGCTTTAAGTAAACAAAATTGACCTGTCCGAGCATTTTTTCGAAAAATTAACTACTTCCATTATAATGAATTTATTCCTTTCATTTGAACCATACTGTATAATAAAATATAGGTGAATACAATTAATAAATGAATATGTCGTTTGTAACTCTGTCACAGAAGAAAGAACAATACAGAAAAGAAAGTAATGGTCGGAACTTTGAAGTTGAAGGGATAGAAATATTTGACCTTGAGTTCCACCACAGAGATACTCTGAGAAAACCTAATTATTCACAGTAGAACAGAAGTAAAAGTTGGAAATGCTTTTGCCAGTTCTCCCACTTTATACACATAAATTGACAGGTTGGCAGCGGATTTCACCGAAGTGGACGCGATACATTGGCGTACAAAATTATTTTATAGATGTTAATAACAATTTCGAGTAAATAGTTTAATAAATTGTGAATAGC